AAGTGCTTGTACTCGAAGACGAGCTCTCCGACTCGCTGACGTCAGCGCTGAAACTATAACTGTCATCAAATCGCCGCGATTGTAACTCTTCGCATTCATCCTCTGATGAAGTCACACTACTAGGCATCCTGAACTATAATACACACAAATTGAAAAATAATAATAATAATAATAATAACACACTCAATATTCTGAAAATTTGAAACGCAAGTTCAGTGCTTCAACGGCTTGACGAAAAGCGTGTGTGAAGATTCTATGATTGAAAGTGAAGAAGAGTGGGGAAAATAAAGTGAGAGTGGATATATAAAGTTGAGTGAGAACAGATTTTTAGTACTTGAATTCAACGTAGTAATTGGCATCTGAGCGATAAGGCAGCTTTTGTACAGTGATTAGTGATTGGTGTAATAGAAGTTAGTTTGCCGCAGATCACGGAGGCCCCACCGTCACATGGTGGTGGCAGCCTTCGTTCTCCGCCCGTAATTTACTGCTAACGCATTTGACAATCTAAAATCTACGAGACACTTCCAATAGCGGTGTAGGATGGAGATGTAGAGGTAATTCTGCCAATGCCTTATATATGCGTTTGGAAAGTGATATATGTATATAACTGTCTACATAATGGTATTCATAATTATACGTAGCACTGAATCTAAGTTTTAACTCAAATATCGCACTTACACATCAACAACCGAATGATTGCCACATCATATTATGGACATCATTATATACAATAATTATATACAAGTAGAATTTATCTATACGTTTTTTATTGCTCATTCAAATTTAAAATGTTGAATTTTGATCATTGAATTTTGAAAAACATTATATGTTACTCACTAGCATGATTCCGTCTCAAACTTCTAATGGATTTATGACGTGGCTGACCAAATACACATGTAGCGTCCCGTCACACCGTTAAATTTTGAGATAATAGAATTTTAATCGCTGAAATATGAAAAATATTTTCTATTGCTCGTTAAACTTTGAGATAGTTAAATTTTGGCTACTGAACTTTGATATAATCAAACTTTGGCTACTGAACTTTAAGACGAAAATTATGTTAGTGAATAACGTACAACGTTTTTCAAAATTCAACATTTTAAATTTCAATAAGCAATCGAAGACATAAATATAAGTTCAGTGACCATTGGAATAATTAACTCTACAATGGAATTTAAATTGGTTTCTTTAAAAATTAAAATCACTTTTGCCTTTTTATTTATATTCAAATGGATCTAAATTCAAATTTTACACAGATGAAAAGATTTAAATCCACTTTTGTTTTTGGTAGATGTAAAAAAAATTAAATTTATATCTTTTTTTTACATCTTCTATTCAAAAAATGTAATTTACATTTTCTTTATATATTTTCATTGGAGAGATTTTTTATTACTTTAAATATCTAAATCACAATTTAGATCAATTTTATAACATAATTAGTACGGAAGGCAAAAATACCATCAAACTTGATACGCGCGTTCTCCAACTCGAAAGGGAATGGTGATTACTCGTTTAATCAAATATTCGGATCGAGGACGGGGCGGGAAAAAGTAACAAAGGCCCCGCTCGACCCCACTTAACATTTTTTTTTAAATTTAATATTTTAAACTCTACGGAATTTCACTAATTCTGATAGAAGATAGCAATTAAAATTGTCTAAGGAATATGATTAACAATAAAAACCTTAGTTTAATAAATATATTTGAATAATTTAATTTTTAAAAATAAATTAATTAATTAACAATGTAATAATTATATTATTGTCTTACTTTAATAAATGTGGACAATAAAATGAATTATAAAAAAAATAAACGGTACTAAACGGAGTAAGGGCCCTACCCCACTCCACCCCGTCCTAAACAAGTAACGGGGTGAGGGAGCTTTCCTCAGCCTGAGCCGAAACCCAGAATCCACCATGTTGCCATCCCTAATAATTGAATATTTTTTAAGTAAATGCTATTCATCCTACTGGATTGAACAACAGTTTAGGTGGCAATATTTTATACATTTAATTGTTGGATTTTTGACCTAAATTAGGTTGAATTTTTTTTAAAAAAAAAAAATTGTTTCCTTTATTACACGAGCTTTTATTGAAAAAAATATTATTTTCTTTATTTCATGTGTTTTTATTGGAAAAAAGATTGTTTCCTTTATTCTACATGATTTGTGATTTTGTTTCTATCTTTGTAGTATTTCTAGAGTTTGGCATGCTTCCTCATAAATACTTGACTCTTTTCACAAGTTTTCTATTAATGAAATATAGAATAATTGTGTAGGCACAGTTATTATATTTATTTTATCCATATTAGTCAATTGAATAAAATACTCAAGTTCTCTGTCATTTAATTCTCTGCCTTTAAACTTGTTGTTTGTTTGCGATCATATACTTTATATCGTCTCTCATATATTGCCTCGATCCATTTTATTTCTCAACAAGTGGCATAAGAGTTATTGGTTGTGATTTGTTCAATATTTTTATTATTGATGGAGCCATGAAGTATAAAATTTCGTTCTTGGATCACAATACAAGATTCTTGTTGTGGCAAGTGAAGATGCAAATTGTACTCGTGCACATGAATTTAGATGATGCGTTGTTGGGATTTGATAAAATGCCTACAGCTTGGACGATTGAGGAGAAACAGTGGAAAGACCAGAAGGTACTTTCACAGATTTATCTTAATCTCTCTAACAATATTCTTCAGGACCTTTTAAAAGAGAAAACGACAATTGCGTTGTAATTGAAATTGGAGCAATTGTGCATGATTAAAAGTTTAATAGCAAATTACATCTAAGGCAAATGTTATATTCTCATCGTATGGCAGAAGGCAAATTTTGAGAAGATCATCTGCCTGTGTTAAAGGAGATCATAGCTGATTTGGAGAGTTTAGATGTAAAATATGATGAAGAATATTTGGCCTTGATCCTTTTGCAATCACTGTCCACCTTGTTTACTTCATTTAGATTTTGGATACAGCATATACGTTCCATATGTATCCCAATTGAAATTTGTTTGAAATATATGAAATAGTGGTGCAAGATGTCGTTGTCTCTTGTCCGGTAGCTAGTATTGGTAAGGTCGGATTGAAGCTGGTGGATGGAATATGTAGAGCACTTAATTACGTTCGACATATTCCAGATGTGAAGAAGAATCTCATTTCGTTGAGCGCTCTTGATTCAAAAGGGTACACATTCTCTGGAGAAGATGGAGTTTTAAGAGTTTAGGATGTTCATGTTGTAATAAAGGGATGAAAGAGGTCCCAATTATACAGCTTGCAAGGTCTGGCAGAATTTGTGAAGAAAAGTCAGCAAAGAATTAATACCGTTGTGGAGATTCAGTTTGGTATTGTACTTTTGGGATTCGGTTTGAGGTCCATATTGAAAAATACTACTCAGTCAAGTTTGAAAGATATAGGTAATTCCACTTTGCCACCGTTACATGTGGTTCCATCGTATTCAATTGTTAGGAGTAGACCCATTAGAGATAGATACGTGAATAATGATTCGTTTGCACATGCTTTTAGTGTTTTTGAAGGTGTTGATACTAGTTAGGTGCCTTCTATGTGAGTTGATTCTGCTACAGGGTGTGCTTCGACACTGTTTGGTAATTTTTAATTCTTTGTGAATTTGGAAAATCCAGTATTTGGGTTTATGTATCCGAGTTGGATACTGTGGAAGGGAAAGAGTATTTTTGTGTTGGAGAAAGTTTGGTTATTGTTGAAGAGTTTGAATTTTATGTTATAGTCGAATTTATTTTTCCAGGGGAAGAAATCTTGAAGTTTCGTTCGTTGAATCGAAATTTGTGTTAAGGTGAAGATTGTTGAATATTTTGACCCAAATTAAGTTGAATTTTTTATTTTTTATTTTTTTTTGAGAAAATATTATTTCCTTTATTAGACTTTGCATTTAAATGATTTCTATTTAGACGAGTGCTCAACTCCAAAGAAGATGAATAGCATTACTCGAAATTAAACGAGGGTCAATTGAAAGGACTTTTAAAAACAAAGTTATTTTTGAGATTATAAATTACTTTTAGATATGCATGATTAGAAGAACTGTTTAAAAAAAGTTGGTCTAAAGTAACATTCTCAAGAAAATCTTTAATAAGAAGCAAAAACAAATAGGATTTTTCTAAATGGACAAGGCTACATGACTCTATTCGTGTAGCACAACTCAAACAAATACAAAAAAAAATGCCAAATGAGCTCTTAGTGTGACCGAACCCATTTCTCAGGACAACCTTGGTTTTTGGCCAGGGCCAAATTTTAACAACCGACCCTCCAATAGAGGGACCCCACATTTTCAACCCTATTCTTGGCCCTGGCCTTGGGGCTTTTTTGCTTCCCGGGATTATTGAGAAATTGGAATAGTGACTTGAAGAATTCAAATATTTTGATAGGCGTTTGATGCATTTGAATTCAAATGTAAAAGGCCAAAGTTATTGAGTAATTATTTAACTGCAGTTGTTAATGTTGCGGTTACAAGTTACAATTGCTATGGTAGACCCCAAGCCTTTACTCGATCAGGTTATGGAAAATAACTCAAAATTAAAAACCAACCTAGAATTTGACACGTTTGCAGTAAAACCTCTATATAATAATAATGTTGGGATCGAAAAAAATATTATTTGAAAGAAGTTATTAATTTAACGATAAATGAATATTTATTAGTTTATCGATAAATGAATATTTATTAATTTATAGAGTATTTTACCGTCATAAATGTAGGAAATTTTAAAAAGAAAACATTGAATGTGGTGAAATTTAAAATTTAACCTATAAGAATACAGAAATGCACACGCATACTTACATTATAGAGAAAACATTAATGTACACGCATTGACTTAAAAGTTTAATATCTTGTAAGATTAATCGTTTAAGTTATATCATGTACACATGGAACATAATTTCTACAATCATTAGTTTTAAACTGAGACCCTCCATTTTGAAACAGTTATAATTTATATATTCGTTGGATAAAGTATCTCTAAAAAATTATTATCTTATGTATTTAGGGGAATTATTAATTTAGTATACTGATCCAAGTTGGGACCAAAGAATATTATTATTTAAGCGAGACTATTAATTTATCGAATATTCATTTATTGAGGTTTTAGTGTATACATAATTGACATGCCACATGTAATCAATGAGCTATTTTTTTAAAAGGCGAGAAAACCACATTTGATGTTTTCCTTTGTAAATATGAACTTCATTAATAAGTAGAAATTCTCAATAAAATATAGGACAAATTAGGATTGAACTCCTATTTTTCAGGACTAAATTCTCTGGTGAAATTGGGGTTGTTGTAGAGCTTGGAAGAATTGGGATTAATTGTTGAATGGTAAGGTAGAGATGTCCAAGATTGGTGGTGTTCGTGCAAGGCTCGATAACGATTCTTGACGTTGAAATATTGGTGGTTAGCAGAAGGTGGTAGTGGTGGTTGGTGGGGTTTGGGAAAGAAAGAGGTTTCTTTTTTTTCGAACGTTGACTTCAATTATTTCTTATTTTTTATTTATTTAAAGAGGACGGTAAATTTGTCATTTTACAAAACTTGATGAAGAAATCGACAATAAGTAGGTTTTATGCACAGAAAGGTCGATACAAGATTCCAAATGCCAAAATTAAAACGATAGAGATAATTTGCGCATGTAGGAGAAATTGTTATCGTAAAATCACCGGATCTTCATGTTGGATCATCAAGAAATTCAAGAACTATAGCGGAAGCGTGCCTAAATCAGACATGGTTAATGCAATAGTTGAATTTTGTGATTTTAGTCTTCCAAATCTACACGCAACCCGTAATTCTCTCTGGTAATGGGAGGCAGAACAGAATGGGCAAATACGATACTCTCTCTACGTGTGATTTGGGGACCATAACTATTTATATATATATACGCCCTCTTGACCTAATTCGGCCAATTATGGAATTAGTGACTTGAGTTCGATCTCTACACATACATAAACCCATATTTTAATTGGATGCATTAAAGTCCAAATTCGAATCATTATTAGATCACTTTAAATGAGCTCAATCGAACTCAATAGCCTTTAATTTAATGCATAGCAATTTACACATGTAAACCCATCGATGGATTGAAAAATCCTTACAACAAAATTGAAAACAAACAACATGAACATTTTGCATCAATTAGTCTAGTCTATTTATAATAAGTCAAATTACTTAGCCTGCAGTATTTATAGGTTCATGAGTCCATCCCGTCGTTAAATTTGGAACATAATCCAGCAAGACACTTAACATGAATGAGCCTGAATTAGGTAAGGTTTAGATGCAGGTGAGTCGGTCCGCTTCAAGGGGTATAATTCAAGTACCTAACTGCAAATTTCTCTTTGTTCTTGAACCCGCGAATTGGCCATTTGGATCCAGTTACACATCCCCTGCATTAACCCTCTTCTTCTTCTTGTACTCGTCCATTCCATTAGGATTTTGGAGAGGAAAAAAAGTCTCACCTTTGACTGGTTTTTTACAAAGCAAAAGGACCTTGTAGACGAATTTCACAGTGCTGCTTGGATTACTGCAATTGCAATTCAGGGTGAGTGCGATTACCTTAAATAGATCATAAAAAAGTTAAATTGTTTATCATTTTATCTGCTTCTGATTGAAGCTTGAAGGAAAAAAAATTACGGTGTTTATGCTGTCCAGTAAATTAGTTGAAGTTGGCTTCAAGGTTTTTTCCCCATTCATCCATTTACTGCCTCTAACAAAAATTTCTGAATTTCAAACAGTTTTTTCACATTATGAATTAATCCCCTGGCTCATGATCAATAGAACCATTAACTTGTATCTCTGGCAAAGGTTCAAAATTTCGCCCTTCAAGCAGTATTCCACATACTCTTCAGAAGATCAAAACCAAAAGCTGATTACCTTGTTACAGTCATGCAAAAAAATCTCTGAAACCACTCAAATCCATGGCTTAATGGTCAAGAATGGTCTTGACAACACACCGTTTCCATTGAGCAAATTGCTTGCACACACTTCAATACAGGATATCGAGTATGCAGCCTCCATTTTCAAGCATGTACAGAGCCCGAATCTCTATATGTTCAACACCATGCTTAGAGGTTATTCAATCAGTGATGACCCTAGAAGAGCTCTTGTTTTGTTCAATTGCATGAGGGCTCAAACCCAAAGTCAAGATTTCATGCTTGACGAATTCACTTTTGTTTCAACTTTGAAATCTTCAGCTCGTTTATTCACTTTTTGGACTGGTTCTGGAATTCATTCGGTTGTTTTGAAATCTGGGGTTGATTTGTTTCTAAATGTCAAGAATTCTCTCTTGCATTTCTACTGTGTTTGTGGGCGAACTAAGGAGGCCCACCAGTTGTTTGATGAATTTAGTACAAAGAGAGATTTGATCTCATGGAACACATTAATGGGTGGTTATCTTGGTGCCTTTCAGTATGATATGGTTGTGGAATTGTTTAGGAAATTACACGGGGATGGTTATAGTTTTGGTGTGACTACAATATTAAGTATCTTGTCAGCTGTTGGTGAAATGAGAAATGTTCTCAGAGGGGAATGTCTCCATGGAATTTGCATCAAGATTGGATTTTTATTTGATCTGAGTGTGGTAACTGGCTTGATTTCCATGTATGGGAAACATGGTTATATTGATTTTGCTCGTCAAATTTTTGATGAAATTGATATTGAGAAAGATATTATAATGTGGAACTGTTTAATAGATGGATATGCTAAGAATGGTCTGTTAGAAGAATCATTAGAATTGTTAGGTTCAATGAAGCGTGAAAAGGTGAAGCCTAATTCATCTACCTTGGCGGGGTTGCTTTCTGCTTGTGCTTCATCTGGGGCTCTTACTGTAGGTCAGTCGATACATGATTACGTGAAGGAACAACAGCTAGCTCTGGATGCGGCTCTCGGGACAGCTCTAGTAGACATGTATGCTAAAAGTGGGCTGCTCGGGAAGGCTGTCCATGTCTTCGATAGGATAGAGAGCAAAGATGTGAAATGTTGGACGGCTATGATTTTGGGTCACGGGGTACACGGGCAGGCAAATGATGCAATTACACTCTTTCACAGGATGGAGGAAGAGGGTTTCCAGCCTAATGAAGTTACTTTCTTGGCAGTTTTGATCTCTTGTAGCCATGGAGGTCTAGTGAAGGAGGGAATGATCTATTTCCGGAGAATGGTGGAAATGTACGGTCTTATGCCAGAAGTTGAACATTATGGATGTATAATTGATCTCTTGGGTCGGGCTGGGTTGCTGGAGGATGCATATGAGATAATTAAAGGATTGGTAAATGAGGGGGATGGTACTGCTTGGCGTGCATTGCTTGCATCATGTAGAATCTATGGCAACGTGGAATTGGGGAAACGTGTGAAGCGAAAACTGGAGAAAATATGTGATGAACCTTCATCTTTTGTTGCCAAATTGAAAAATCCACTTTCCCATTAAAAATTTCAGCTTCAAAGTGTGAAGACATTTTTAAGGAGAAAATAAAAAACAGAACAACCAAGTCACAAATAGGTCACACAAAGTAATCCTAAAGTCACAATATACACTGTTCTAAATTTTCAGGGTTTCGTAAGATTCACGATTTTAGATCAAGGGAATGTTCGAACGGGTTAAGTCCAGGTGTTCTAATTGGATAATTAATGCAAACACGAAGGTATATAAACGAAAACCTCAAATTTTCACGCAACAAGTCTCACACAGTGACTATATGACAGATAAGTACAAAATCAACTATCAACTTGCAATCAAAGTTCAACTCTTCAATAAGTGTTCTAGCACAACCAATGGTTGCCAAGTAATGACAACCGCCAATCCTAACGATCACTCCACATGATGATCTGCTAATGCTGAAATTTAAACTAAGTTAAGCCAATATACCAGAGTGGACCTATCTGAGTCCGTAAATTACGAGAGTTGCAAATTTATCACTTTAGCACCACCACTATTCGTCCTAAAGTCTCTGAAAACTGCAGCAACCAAAAAATCACGATCGAGTCCCGAACGCCCGAAGAACAACGTTGTCCAGATTCTACTGCATATCTTGAAACAGAAAACTTTCAACACGAAAAATATCAAAAATAATATGAGGAACAAATTACCTGAAGGGACCTCCTTGAAATTACACTCCACGCACCCTCACGGGCGTCTTCTTTTCTCTGTGCGTGGGCCTCACATGCCATCACACGTGCCGCCTTAGACTGACACGCACTGCCCTGCAAGGTTCGCCTCCACCTGCACATCACACCAGTGGTCTCCATTTCCCCAAACTCCTTTTGGATTGATCAAAAAATGCAAAAAACGGAGACTAATTTTGACAGTTTTGGACAACTTCTTCGATCTGATTTCTGTAGCGATTTTTGGACATTTTGGGTATGTTTCATGAGCCAAAACCACCACCTTAAAGCTCTAATACTAATTGTTGCGAAAGCTCTCTTGAAAGATCTTCAAATCGGTGATTTCTAGACTCAGTCCAATGCATCTTTCTCAACTAACAACCTGTCCAATCGGCTCCAAACCACAACCAATTGATTCATCTTGGTTGCTATTCAATCTTACCCACGTAGGATAAGAAAGGATGATGATTTGTGACCACAAAGGCTAGGAGAAGACACCACAAGGGTATACTATGAAGGAGCCACCAATTGCACACGTTATACAAGCGTTCTGGACACTTCTGGAGACCTTTTTTCTCACACAAAGGGGGCAGCCGAGATTCTCTTTTTCTTCTCTCAAAATCACACAATACATCATATGAAAGTGGTTAGGGTTATAACCAAATATATACTCTAGGGTTAGGCCTTAAGTTGGGCCATTAAAGGGGTAAACGGACCAAGATTCAAGTCATCTCTAAGGAAATACAATTGGGTCAGGTGTAACTCATGGACTTGGTTGTTAGACTTATTTTATTCATCGGCCTATGCCTATGAAATGATATTAACCCACGTTAACATCATAACCTGGGATTTATTTAGTATCAAAAACCCAACACCTGTGCTTTTGAATTTGATTTAATAAGCTTCATAAGTAAATAATAGTTAGATAAAAATTTTGACCCCTCTCTCTCTCTCTCTCTCTCTCTCTCTCATCCTCAAATTCCCTCTACTTGGTACCGTTTGCTTGACAATTTAAACATGCAGTGAAGCAATGCAATGCTTAACATCTCTCTCTCTCTCACATCCTCAAATTCCTGCTACTGGGTGCCGTGTGCTTGACAATTTAAACATGCAGATGTTTTTTCTTGGATTGATAAATAATGGAATTTTGTGATAGTGAGCCAAATTCCTCGACTGCAAAATACACACAGATTCTATCAGCAGCTCCACCTCCACCGTGCAGAACCCAATTTCTCTCTCCCTATAATCCTCATAGAAGACAACAACCAATTTGCACAAATTTGTCAGAATTGCACTGCCTAAACAGCTCTACAATTGTGTCCCAGGTACGTTTAGCAATAACGAATTAAGTTGGTTGGAGCCATTTGTGGTGGAAATATAGGCAATAAAAGGAGACTGCACCAATTTTTCTAGGTTATCTCATGTCTTAGATAGAGTTGATCGCTCCCTCTCCAGTCTAGAGAGAGGACTCTGATGACAACTTTTCTCTACTTTGAAAAAATAATGAAATCAAAACTGTTAATGAAGATAAACACCTCCCCTTTTCAATATCACAAAGATCAGCACCAAAATGGAGTATACAAGGCTCAGATCATTGACCTAACTACATACAAGGTAGCTCTACTAGAAGGAACCTAGAATTTCACTCAGTGGCAAATCCAGACTTTTAAGTTAGCACGGGCAGCCGTCTATCGTTGCCACAATAAAATATTACGAGCCCATTTAATGCTCTTTTTTTGCAAAAAAAATGCATTTTGGAATAGTGATTTAATGGATAAAGCGTTGTTAAAAATAAAGAAAAAGTTTGAATTTGCGTTAATATTATTTCATTGAAGAATGTGATTAAAAAGAAGAAAGAAAAAATGTATTTTGAAAAAAAAAAAAGGGGGGGGGGGAATGATACAAGACCTAAAATTTAAATAAAACAATTATTTGGTAAATATTAAAAGTATTTACCAAATAATATTGTGGCCAAATTTTGTATAATTCAAAAGAAGAGCCACAATGTTTACATTTGTATTAAAATAACTTGACAAAAATCAATTTTTTTCACATTATTCCGATGATGGGACCTTTTAATATAGATTTTCACGTTATTACCTTAGTTACACTATTTTCTGAGGGAGCACTATTCTTTAGAAATTGCAAATTAATCTATAAATTAATAGGTTCGAATATTTATATTTGTATGAAAATTGCTAAAACGTGACATATATTATTCTGTTCAGTTCCATGCTCAAATTCAACAAGTGCTTCAATGGTTAATCTCCTCATAATGCTAAGAAGAGAAACCAGGTTCGAATCCTCCTCTCATATTTTCATGAATTTTGGTAAAAATTGTAGAAATAAAAATATTACACTATAAATTAGTTGGGGAGGTATTCGATCCCTAGACCTTCAATATGAATTGGCAACCTTCCAACCAACTAACCCACAAGAGAACACATTCGAGTTAGCTTATATAAGTTCAAACTTTATCTATCATCAACCCAAAAAAAATTGCTTCCGGCGGATCCAGCTAGGGCGGCCGCCCTAGTTGGCGAACCCCTGGATCCGCCCCTGCCTGCACGAATATTCCTGCATGAAAATGGAAAGAGTACAGGAACAGAGCAAACATTGAGGGCTTAATTCTTTTCTTCGAAAGTGGGAGATTACAGAGACGAACTTAGGCGATCAAGATTCACAAAGCCTGAAAGCACGGCCCTGTTTCGTTCTTTAACCTTCACCTGATACAACACCCTGCATATTTCACTACATTTGTAAGCTCCAACGTAGATTAAGTATCATGAATTCGAGTAAGGTAAAAAAAAAAAAAAAAAACTTAACCTACCTTGAACCTTCAAGCCACATTTCAGTTATCAAGGTATCATGAATTCGAGTAAGGAAAAAGAAAAAACTTAACCTACCTTGAACCTTCAAGCCACATTTCAGTTATCAAGGTTTCACCAGGATAGACATGCAACAGAAATCTACCGGAAATGCCTTTGATCATATTTGGTTCTCCTCTGCAGACACATTTGATGATAGCTCTGACCGCAAACCCGAGTGTGCAAAGCCCATGTAATATCGGACGAGAAAATCTACAAAAAGCATGCTAAACAAAATAAGAGGACAATATTCCGCTAGTAAAATTGTAAAATCAGAAACTGGTTGTACGATGAGAAAAAGTAACTCACCATATGAGAGGTTTACCATGTCCGGCAAAAATACATAATTGCATTTCACATACAAATCAGAAATTTTGTATACATTTTGTCATCTATTTGGTTCTGTAGAAAAGAGGTTTAGGAATCATATTTTAGCAATCAGATTCCACGTAATTTGAATCGTGACAGTGGAAAACTTTCCTATATTGTGAGAAGACAAAGCATCTTCTAGAAGAACTGACTACCACTTCTTCTCTCACTGAGTGCTTATGGACTGATTGAGCCTACATATATTATATTTGGTCACTCAAGTGTTGCCCCTTATTTGTAATTGTCACTCGACAAAAATAGTGAGATGTTAAACTTAGTTGCAATTAAACTAAGAAATAAAGGAGTTGATTGCATTTATTAATGCCCATCATAGAACTGAATCACACCGTTACACCACCATATTTGTCCTAATTTTCTCCTGCCATCTAAACAAACCTTCAGTTCCCACTTGAGAGTTAAACCAAAACAACATTTGTCAATTGGTGTCATGTCCATTAATTGATATATATAGCCATTTCTAATTTTATTTATTTTAACATGTTTACACATCTATCTTAATATATGCCTTTTCTCCCACATTCATCTTAAAGACATTTTGTCGTTTAACTGCCCAATACTTGGTATTCTTAATCTTACCTAGTTTAATAATCATTATTTGTAGAAATTGCACTTTAACTTGACAGCTATCGTGTAATCAAATGAAATTACTACTACTTCTAGGTTTCATCTAATTCACCTTAATCCTACTCATTACATTCTATTCAATCAATAATAATCAAACCCAAAGACCTAATGAAATTCTAATCAGGTTAACATGGCTTAAAATAAATACTTCAGAAGTGTTCCTTCAAAGTTCTTACTATTCGTATCTCCTTGCTCTAGTAAACAAAAACATAATGCTACGAATGAATAAAATATACCAAGGGACCACATTTTCGAGTTGTCTCATAAATTTTATCTATGTTTAAAGCGAAGAGAAACCTTAATACTAAATTTAATTATATGAAAACCTCTACTATCAACACTACTAAATTAGACGATCATAACTGCTCCATCATTTATAAATTTATGGATATTGTGTATATTATAGAAAATCCTTATTTCTATAGCACCCACCATAACACTTTCCAGGATCACCATATCATATGCTTTTCTAAATAAATAAAAATCATATTGAAATCTTGCTTCTTTTATGTATTACTTCGCCATCAATTAATTGATTTAAAATAGGTTTAAAATAAAATAACATATTTCATCAGCATAAAATAAAACTCGTCTTATGAGGCCATTGAATTAACACTTGTACACGTTGAATTAGTGATGCAGACATCCATTTACTATTTATTTTCTATTTGGACTATTAGTTATATTTTATTTGGATTATTATTTATATTTCTGTTATTGGGCTTATATAGTTGGTTTGGCCCAAGCCCTTTTCTCTAGAGTTTTTTGTTTTGTTATTTATTTATGTTTTGTTGTGTATTTGAGATGGTGGATGAATTGATGAATTAAAGAATAGAATGCTTGGGTTGTTGCCTATGACTTCCTCTTTCTCCCCTTTCTCCTGATTTCTGCTTCTTCTCCAATTTTCTCATCCCATTCTCTCCGATTTCTCCCTCTCTTCTTGCTTATTCTTTCTTTTTTTAATTCGTCCTGCATCAAATTTGGTATCAGAGTCGAACTTAGGTAATTTTTCTCCTTATCCAAAATTTCTTCCCGTTGGAACAACAAAAAATAAAAAATAAAAATTCATCGCATTGTTCACAGGTACTATTTACGCTCGAAAATTTCAGTTTAGCATTCTCTTTAGTTTCTGGCCACAAAAAAAAAAAAAAAAAAAAATGTTGCCGTCTCAATTTGATTTGCTGCTGACACATGAATTAAATGTGTTGTTTCAAACCCTAGCCCACCCCTCCAATTCACAAAACCAGTTTACAACCGGCCCAAACCCAATCAATTCCGAGTCCAAACTCCAAAGTAGCCCAACTGAAACAATAAATCATCTTCAAGCCCATAATTCAACCCATACCCGAACCCATAATGGAGGCCCATAATTCAAACCCAACTCAAGTAGCCCATTACTTGGCCGAATACAAACTTCATCCCCCACAACGCTAACCTCGCGACACAGTACTCCCCCACCTGATACCGCCATGGCTCCCGTCGCCGGCTAACCCATCCAGCCAGCACTTGCCACACCCACCGTCGGTCAACCATCAGTTGCCGGCGTTCGTTACCGACGATCCAAAAAACTCCACTGCCAGCACCAGTATCTCACAAATGAGGTCATCCCCCTCACACAGGCAACAATCCACTACACCTCTTCATCTTGTTACAATTTAATTCCATCTGCCATTTTTCAATTTCGCCAGCAGCCCACACACCCATCATCAATTAAAGAGACCCATTCATTCCCAAACACATTCACACATCAATTCCTCAGGAGCCAAGCCCTCACCGCGTCTCTGCCGGTTAACCACCACTGGCGTTTCGCCGACTGTAGCCTCTTCGCGGGTGACCCACCACCGGCCCAATCTTGAGGACCTAATTGCTCAATAACTTCAAATGGATTCAATTGTTCAACAACTTTCTTGAAGATTGCAGACATCAGCCGACTTCATCAATCAAGTAGTTAATTGTCTCCTTTGCCAACTGCCTCCACCGATTGCAAAGACCCATTACAGCCACCTGAGTCAACTGGACAACAGGGAGTCGCTATCTCCTAATTCTCGTTAGTTTATACTGCTGTTTTATTTTAAAAGTGCATCATTTAGAGTCTTTGTGTCACTGTGCTCTCCTAACTTTGGCCTCAAACTTCACTTGCCTGGAATCAGTCACTGAATTAACTTGCCATTGTTACCCCCATTTACCTACGTGATTGGAAATTTTGACAAGTCAATTGGACCCTTGCTTTATTATTTACACACCTCAGCACTATTAGTTTGCATAGTTGGATTCCGTAACCCCAAAATTTGTTCAGAGAGAGAGAGAGAATTTCAAATTGCTGTTTTAAATTGTTGGTCCTTGTTGCATATTGATCTCTCTATTGCATTTCATTTAGGTAGTGCTGCTTTGCATATAATTGCATAGTGGTCGTCCTGTCACTTTACTACTTTAAACATGGACCTCTTACAATTTGATGCACTCACCTGACAAATAGCGGCTATCCAAACCCAGATGATTACTATTCTTGAAGAAAGTAAGGCTCTATCTACTAATTTGAACAACTTTAAGCAAATCCCTCGTTCAACCGACGTCCATAAATCTAAAGTGTCCCATAATAGACATTATCATCATCATCATCATGTGATCAAAAATGCTTTAGACACGATCGTAGATATAGGGATCAGGTTTGTGAGCGAGAATGAGAATTTTGAAATTTTTACTCAACGGAATGCCCTTAAACAAGGAAATCAATTAGTGACTGAGTATATTGCTCAATTTGAGGAATTTCGAATGAAATGTCATGTCATTGAGGATGAGACCTTGACTTTAAGTAGATTTACACAAGGTTTAAGAGATGATTTTGAGGCGTGAGCTTTTCTTTCGGGGTGTCACCACTCTTAATCAAGCTTATTGTTTAGCTCGAGATTATGAGTTGATTATTAGTATTGCATATGAAAAGCGTGATCACCGTTGTTCACCCATCTCATTAGCGTCATCTCATCATAAGTCTATCATAGAGCCTTCCCAGTCTAGTGTTCCTTCCCTTTGGAAAAACAAGTGTAAAGGTCGTGATAGCCCAAGGTCGTCTTCTTCATGTAGAAAGCGTAATGACAATCATCCTTCGATTTCATTGGCTCCACTTCCTCCTGTTAAGTCCCTTCTAGGACCTCCCCCGTCTAATGTTCCTCTAATTTTGAAAAATAAAGGTATAAGTTTTGAAACTCCAAGGACTTCTCACCTGCTATGCATCAGCAGTAAGGACTTTGGTCACATCTCTTCGAGCCTTAGTCATAGAAGAACGAAAGAATGTAATAGAAGAGTCGTTAGAAGATCTAGCATATGACCCTAAACTTGAAGATTTTGATGATGATAGTGAGGGCACCTCCTTAGGTGGCATCCAGGCTCTTCTTGGGACTCCAGATTCTGTATCCCATGATTTCCCTAGTTACTTTGAAAGAACCCAGTTGCCTATGGTTAGCACTAAATCGAAATTCTCCACTGCAGACCAACCCCAGGCTGATGGTCAAAATGAAGTTGTTAACCAAAGTCCTAGCAATTTATTCAAATCTCTAGTCCAGAAAAATCTTGGGAATTGGGACTTGATTCCCCCAATTGTTCAAATTGCGTATAACAATTATGTAAATCGGTCTCTAGATTTGAATCCATTTAAAGTTGTTCATAGTTATAAGTCTAGGCGACCGTTAGACCTTATTCCCATGTCCCCACATGCTAGTGTGTCGATGTCAACTGAAGCATTTGTGTATCATCTTCATGACTTGTATATTGAGATCAATAAGCAAATTGACGCAAGCAATGTATTATATAAACCTCAAGCTAATTTGCATAAATGATATTTTGAATTTAATATTGAGAATTATGTTATATTGCAAGCCGGTAGTGCTGGTACTTTTAAAGTTTTAAAGTATGTTGGTCCATATGCACATGTCATTGATTTTTCATCACATTTTGGCCACCACTCTACTTTACATACTGAAGACTTAGTTACTTACAAAGGCCTTTTTAATTTCCTTGATGATCCTTTTCTACTTCCTTATGTGGATCCCCAACCTAAATATATTACCATTTTCACTCCAATAACACGTCATAGCACATAAAGATAAAATTGATATTATTTTAGTTAACATGTTATGTTAACCAATGATGAGGATTTTGGAGATGAGTGTCATGAATTTTTACTATTGGGAGTTCAGTATCGGTATGTGATTTCAAAGAAAGATCGTCCTCCTTGGTTGGATCATATTCTTGAGGATAAGCTACAACTAGCTTTATTATCATTTGTGGAGTTTTGGTATTTGGTCATCAAGAAAGATCGTCC